CCCCTCCCCCCCCTCCCAGCCAGGAATTCCTTCCTGAAAATTCAAAGGGCTTGCACATCCCAAGGTGATTGCCCATTCCAAGGCTGGAAGGCACAACTGCCGGCCTGAAAGATTCCCGGAGCGTTTTCCAGAGGATGGGAAGGTCCAGGCCAAGGATTCCCGTGCCCAACTCACCGGACTGGCTGAAGAGCACGGCGTGCTGGTAGATGTTGGGGGCCAGGAGCAGGAAGCCAGGGAGTGGCAGGGCATGCTGGGGAGAGAGAACAGAGCCATGGTGATGGGAATCCACCCCAGGTTATGGGAATCCACCCCAATTCCCAGCCTGGAAAACCGGATGGGAGAGCGCGGCCCTCCTCCGGATCCGCGCCAAGCCCAGAGCCAAAGGGGCTCTTGGAGCAGCTCCAGCTGCCCAGCAGGACTCACATTGTAGAAGAGGGCCTCTTTGGAATGCTTCCCAAACCTCTGGTACAGAGTCTCCTGGAAAATCCCCATCCTGGCGGACATGAGGAGGGCGAAGGTGAGGGCGGCGATGCCTGCAAGGGAAGCACAGCTCCAACAGGGACACTCCCACAGTTTGGCTTTCCTGGGATAAAAAAAGCCAAGCCAGAAAACTGGGAACAGCCCTGGGACACAAGAGTTTTATTCCCAAGGCTGGGATGCCAAGAGACACAAGGGTTTCATTCCAAACGTGCCAAGGGACCTCTTCAAAATAACAGGCTCGGCCCTAAATTGGTGGGTACCAGGGATAGTTTTGGCCTCTCCTGACAAAACATCAATCCCAGATTTTCCCAAAGGTATAAAACCGGACTCCAGGGGCAGATTTTAAGGCCTCCTCCCTGGAATTCCGTGCTGAAGGAACGCCTGAAGTAGCCCTGCAGAGGAATCGAAGCCATCAAAAGCGAGTCTTGCCAATATTCCAGGAATTATCCTGGCACTCACCCAGCAGCCACCACAGGAAAACCTGGACTCCATCCTCCTCGTTTAGGCTGGAGTCAGATGCCTGGAGGGAGATACAAGAGTCACCACCACGTCCCACCCGGACCTCGCTTCATGTCTCGCGTTCCAAGCAAATCCCAAGGTCTCCCATTCCCCAGAGCTGCTTCCCTGGCACCATTTGCTTCCCACCCTGCACCAGATCCCAGCAAAAAAAAGTCTCAGTGTCCCATCAAAAAGCAGCTTCTCTGAAAGAAACGCCCCGGCTTGGGAAAAGGCGGGATTCTCCCACCACAAAAACAATTTAGTGTCACCTGAAAGGCTCCCAAAACCAGCCCTTCCACGGGTTCCTCTGGGCCCATCCCAGGGAGGAGTGTGCAGGGAGGAACAAGAGCTTTGGGCAAGCCTAAAACCAGGCCTAAAACTCCCTTAGAAAGCTCCCAAACCAGCCCTTTCACAGGATCCTCTGGGCCCATCCCAGGGATGAGCGTGTAGGAAGGAACAAGGGCTTTGGCCAAGTCCCAGTCAGGTGCTAAAACCCCAGTCAGGTGCTAAAACCAGGCCTAAAACCTGGTTTGTGGTCAATTCCTTAAGCAAAGCAGGCTAAAGGTGCTGTCAGAAGAGGATAAAACTCCCTCAGAAAGCTCCCAAAACCAGCCTTTTCATGGGTTCCTCTGGGCACATCCCACAGATGAGTGTGTAGGAAGGAACAAGGGCTTTGGCTAAGCCTAAAACCAGGTCTAAAACCTGGTTTGTGGTCAATTCCTTAAGGAAAGCAGACTAAAGGTGCTGTCAGAAGAGGATAAAACTCCCTTAGAAAGCTCCCAAACCAGCCCTTTCACAGGATCCTCTGGGCCCATACCGGGGATGAGCGTGTAGGAAGGAACAAGGGCTTTGGCCAAGTCCCAGTCAGGTGCTAAAACCCCAGCCAGGTGCTAAAACCAGGCCTAAAACCTGGTTTGTGGTCAATTCCTTAAGGAAAGCAGGCTAAAGGTGCTGTCAGAGCAGGGTAAAACTCCCTTAGAAAGCCCCCAAACCAGCCCTTTCACAGGTTCCTCTGGGCCCATCCCACAGACGAGTGTGCAGGGAGGAACAAGGGCTGTGGGCAAGTGTAAAACTGGGCCTAAAACCTGGTTTATGGTCAATTCCTTAAGGAAAGCAGGCTAAAGGTGCTGTCAGAGCAGGGTAAAACTTCCTTAGAAAGCTCCCAAACCAGCCCTTTCACAGGATCCTCTGGGCCCATCCCAGGGATGAGCGTGTAGGAAGGAACAAGGCCAAGTCCCAGTCAGGTGCTAAAACCCCAGTCAGGTGCTAAAACCAGGCCTAAAACCTGGTTTATGGTCAATTCCTTAAGCAAAGCAGACTAAAGGTGCTGTCAGAGCAGGGTAAAACTCCCTCAGAAAGCTCCCAAACCAGCCCTTTCACAGGTTCCTCTGGGCCCATCCCACAGATGAGTGTGTAGGAAGGAACAAGGGCTTTGGCCAAGCCTAAAATCAGGCCTAAAACCTGGTTTGTGGTTAATACATGAAGGAAAGCAGGCTAAAGGTGCTGTCAGAGCAGGGTAAAACTCCAGACTTGCCTCCCCTCTTTCCCTGTAATTCAGGGAAAATTAACTCACTCCCCTTTGCCCCAGCTCTATCCCAAATCCTGGATTAACACCCAGCCCTTCCCCAGATGTTCTCAGAGCCTTAAAAGCCCTTAAATGCCAGGGAATTTGGAGGTTTGACAGCCCAGTTTTTCATTCCCAACCTCCCAGAGCTGGATTAAGTGCAGCCAATTTTCCCTGGAGCAGCATTTTGGGCCACATTTGTGCCATCCCTTGCCAGGATGAGGCTGAGGGTGCTGAGCCAGGGAAGCTCCAAGGGCTTGGATTCCTGGATTTCCTCCCTCCCTCCCGTTCTCCAAACACAGGCTGGATAACCAAAGGTCTGGAAAAATCCCTGCCTGAAAGCCAACCATCTTTTTTGGGATGAAAAGAGTGAAGATGGCCGAGTTTTGTTTAGGGTTCACCCGCTCCTGAGTAAGGGGAAAAAAAACCCAGCTTTTATCTGTTATCTCTGTGGCAAAACAAACCAAAAAGAAGGTTTCTTCTGAGCAAAAAGCAGGCTAAAAAGGCATTTATAATGAATTTCAATCCCACATTTCTGTGTGCATTCCTTCCCTCCAAAGCACAGGGAAATAAAACCAGGAACGGGGGAGCGGGTTTAGAGGGAGGAGACGCTTCGTGTCTCCCTCAGGCAAAGGGAATTAGGAGGAAGGGGCTGGAATAACGAGGGTCAGAGCCAGGATTGGGGTTCTTTCCCAGTCCTTACCACTTGCTTTGCAGACATGAAAGTGCAGGTGAAGATCCCAAGGGATACCAGGGCTATGGAAGTGTATTTGGACACGCTGTACCTGCCCAGGGAAGAGAGAGGAGACACCTCAGCGACCCTTCTCAGCTCCTGCTCTCCAGCAAACCCTGGAAATCTGGGATAACGGGCTGTAGTGGGGTTCTGGGGCTGGGGTTTGGTAGCAGGAGAGGCTCTAGGGGTGGCTTCTCTTGGAAGCTGCTGGAAGCTTCCCCCTGTCCTGTGGAGCCAATTCCAGCTGCTCCAGGATGGGATTCCAAGGCCGAGCCCGTCAGGAGTGACGGGAACGCCGCTGGGATAACAGATTTAGGAACAGAAGGTTGTGGGGCAGAAGGAATTCCAGCCAGGGAAGAGCGGAGTGGGAACGTGGGACCAACAATGCAGAGCCCGAGGGTAAGGCAGGAGGAGGGGCAGGAGGAGCAAAGGGATGCAGGAAGGAGGCCCAGGATGGAGCAGGAAGGAGGCCCAGGAAAGAGCAGGAAGGAGCAGAAGGGAGACCCAGGATGGAGCAGGGGGATGCAGGAAGGAGGCCCAGGATGGAGCAGGATGGAGGCCCAGGATGGATAAGGGGGATGCAGGAAGGAGGCCCAGGATGGAGCAGGAAGGAGGTCCAGGATGGAGCAGGATGGAGCAGGAAGGAGGTCCAGAATGGAGCAGGAAGGAGCAGGAAGGAGGCCCAGGATGGAGCAGGGGGATGCAGGAAGGAGGCCATGACCCTGTGGCAGGCCCAGGATGGAGCAGGTCCTGGCAGGGACCTGCAGCCTGTGGACAGGGAAGCCCACACAGAGCAGGCTTTTCCTGGACAGGACTCGTGGCCCCTGTGGGGACCCACCTGGGGCAGCTCATCTGGGAGGGACTGACCCCATGGAGGAGGCACCACGGGACAGCAGGGGGGGAAGAGCTGCTGCCCCAGGGATGGGATCACCTGGAGAGCTCCAGCCAGGACTGTCTCCCATGGGATGGGATGAACTGGAGAGCTCCATCCAGGACTGTCTCCCATGGGATGGGCTCACCTGGAGAGCTCCATCCAGGACCAGGAGGTGGACATACAGAGGGAAGAGCTATTCCAGCCTCTAGTCCAGGAACACCTCTGTATCCCGGTTTTCCCACCACTGAATAAGAATATTTAACAGGAAAAGGGAAGGCCTGGAGCCCCCATCAGGATTAAGTCAATGGCAGGACATTCCCTGAGGATTCAAGAGACAGGTTTGGGATTTACCAGAGCAGTCCTTGATGATACGAGGGAAGTTTGGGATTTACCTTTTCTTCAGGATGATGATTCCCAGAGCCATGCTGGCTATGAGGGAACCCTGGGAAAGGAAGGGGGAAAACAAAACAAAGGGTCAGCAGGACAGAATTCCCCAGACTGGGATGCCCAGCCCATGGAAATACTGAAAACCCAATCCAATGGTGCCACAACTCCAAGAGAAATCCAAGGTCAGGAAGAATGACGGGGTGGGAATGAGAGGAAACAGCTTCTCCTTATGCCAGGGGGTGTTTAGATTGGATATTAGGGATAATTTCTTCATGGAAAGGGTTGTCCAGCCCTGGCACAGCTGCCCAGGGTAGGGGTGGAGTCACCATCCCAAATCCAGGCTCTCTGGAATGGGATGTTCAGGATACCACTGGGCCAAATCCCAAATCCAGGCTCTTCCCAAATCCCTGCTCTCTGGAATGGGATGTCCAAGACACCACTAAGCTAAGTCCCAAATCCCTGCTCTCTGGAATGGGATGGTCAGGACACCATCAGGCCAAATCCCAAATCCAGGCTCTTCCCAAATCCCTGCTCTCTGGAATGGGATGTCCAAGACACCACTAAGCTAAGTCCCAAATCCCTGCTCTCTGGAATGGGATGGTCAGGACACCATCAGGTCAAATCCCAAATCCAGGCTCTCTGGAATGGGATGGTCAGGACACCAACAGGCCAAATCCCAAATCCAGGCTCTTCCCAAATCCCTGCTCTCTGGAATGGGATGGTCAGGACACCACCAGGCCAAATCCCAAATCCAGGCTCTCTGGAATGGGATGGTCAGGATACCACTGGGCCAAATCCCAAATCCAGGCTCTCTGGAATGGGATGGGATGGTCAGGACACCACCAGGCCAAATCCCAAATCCAGGCTCTCTGGAATGGGATGGGATGGTCAGGACACCACCAGGCCAAATCCCAAATCCAGGCTCTCTGGAATGGGATGGGATGGTCAGGACACCACCAGGCCAAATCCCAAATCCCAAATCCCGGCTCTCAGGAACGGGATATTCCACCAAGAATCCCACAGCAGGACATGGGGTTTCCACGTGGGTGGTGCCAGGGAAAGCTGGGATCCCTCTGGCCAAAATCCAGGGCTGTTTTGGTGGCCTTGGGGAAGGAAGGGCTGGCAGAACACACGGAGCAGGGAGAGGATGTGGGAAGAAGAATTCCAGAGGAGGAAAAGCGGGAAAAGGGCGGCACTCACCGAGCGGAAGATCATGTGCAGGGGCATGGAGATGTTGAGGTTGAGGGCGTAGTTATTCACCACGCTGACGGTGAAGAACATGGCCACCATGATCAAATAGTACCTGGAAAGGCAAAAATTCCCACCCTGGAATGCTGGGAGACACCTCAGGAACCCTCCTGGGCTGCAGGGAAAGGCCTGGAGCAAGAGCAGGAGCAACCAGGGAATAACGAGGAGATGATCTGTTAAATTTCCAGGAAAACTCTCTTTAAAATAAAAAAAAAAAGCTCTTTAACCACAGCAAAGTCTTCCCTGTGGAAAATATTCCCCTGTGCCTCTGACAGGGAAGGATCTGAGGGCAGTTTCCTGTCAAGAATTCCTGAGAAACGAGTCCGTGTTTTTATCAGGCCTCACAGGTTGTCAGGGTGGCTGGAGGATGGATGGGATTGAGGCAGGAGAAGTGGATGAGCCACTTTATTAAGGGCTTTTGGAGGTCTGGGATAGGCAGGGATAATCCCTGCCCAGCAAAAGTTTGGGATGCACTGTACCTGATTGGGATGGCCGGGCTCTTCCTCCCAAAATTGGCCTCGAAGATAAAACCTTCCACGGCGATGAAGAGGAACTGGGAGAAGGTCACGATGTTCCCACATCCTGGAAACTCCCTGAGGGCATGGAAAAGGAAGAGGAGTGTGAAACAATGCCATGGAGAACACGGGGTTCCAGGAAAAGCAGGAAAACAGCTCCTTATCCCACAGGGA